TATATATATATATATATATATATATATATATATAAATTGACTCAATTACCGACCATTAGTCTATGTGTAATAAATAGTTATATGGAGGGATATAGACATACATGTGTTTGTGTAGTGTATGCATATACACACAATGTCCAACTATGGTCTATACAAGTTTGCAAAATATATATAGTGTCAAAACACGCAACAATTTACACTGATACAAATTAATAACATAGAACGATCCTATCCAGTGACTCATATTGTGAATGGCAACCTAACTTTACTTTGAATTTTCACACAACAGCAACATGTAACATGTTACAAAAAAAGCAATGTATGTAAACGCAAACCTGATAGTTTAATATCCCAATGAAGGTAAATTAACAAGCTTAATGTGGATATTGTGTAAATTGTTGGCTGAACATCAACAATACCCCCAACCAAAATATATATATTTATATTCATAAAGACAAACAGGCTTTACAGTCTTGTGCTCCAGATGTGTGCCAATGCACTGTGCAATGTGTTGCAGACATAGCCATGGATTGAATCATGGATTTTTATCCCCTCAATAAACAGGTGCTGTAACACGGTAATAACAAAAGTTAAAGAAAAAAGTGAGCATGGATCTTTAAGACTACAGGTGGCACAGAGGTATTTTTTACATAAAAAGTGGGGCAACTGTAAAAAAAAAAAAAAAAAAGGGTGGCATACTAGCAATAATACCAGCTAACTGTAGACGATGTAGTTTCTCCAGAAAGCTTGTTGGAATTGCACAGACTTGGATCCCTCGTGCCTCTAACTACCATTCACATACCTTTTAGACCATAACACTAGTTAAGTTGTAGGGGTGACAGTAATGTCAGATGCAGGAGTTTGCCCTGCAACTGAAAGGTTGTTCATTTAAAGCCCAGCTCTGTCATTTAGTGTCATTGTGTTTGTGGCTACACTGTAGCTTGCCAAAAACCAGAAGTGTAAATAAGTGAATGACTGAATGTAGTGTAAAGCACTTTGGACGGTCTCCTGACTTAAAAAAAGCGCTATATAAGTAAATATACCATTTACCATTGATGGTCTTTTTGGAGCCTAAACAAAGTCCTCTGGGACATAATTAAAAGTGATTGCCATGCTATAGTGGGAAGTACAAAGCTAATAAGTGGAGTAGGACGGGTATCACAAAATATCCTATTATTTTCTATAAATAACCCATAATGGCTGATGGTGAACCTTTTTCAAGCTGTTCTATTCAGGACTGTGACAGTTTCCATAAAACTTTCCAAATCCAGGCGCTCATTATTAACATGAATGTTCCCCTACTGTTTAAAGGATGCAAAGTCAGGTTTTGAGGGTTTCATATAGTGTGGCAGTAAGTTAATCTTCTTGGAAACGGGCTATCTAAGTACATTGCTATTGTCAAAATAATTTACAGACTTAGGTAAAAGTAAAAGTAAAAGCAATTAAGCCTGAAAATGCTGTCTGAGTAAATCCAAGTCAGAATTCTTTCTGAGTGTCAGCAGGGTTCGGATGAAACAGTGTTTATGTCCCACAACAGAATAAAATGCTAAATATGCAACATCGTTTGAAAAACAGTAGCTCATACATTTAGTTATATAATAATGTCATTTTTGGATTGTTGAATAAATAAAAATAAAAAAAATCTATAATCCTCCTGTGCAAGCATGATTTTACCAGACCCATAATTTTATCACGGACAAATGCGTTAAGTTAATATTATTGCACATAATGACATGGTAAGTAAGGCTTTGCTCACAAATGACATTCACCTTCCACTTAAGTTAAAGGTAGGATCAAAAGATATCTGGGGTACTTTCTTCTTTGCAGGGAGGCTGAAAACACTAAAAGAGGAACAGAAACCCTTCAAATTCCATCTGCTCCTAAAACCAATTTGAAGGGGTCTTACTAGGTAGTTTAGGCTTGACGTGTATTAAAGCAGAATGCATACAAAGGAGATGGCTGTTTGTCGAATGACCAGGGTTCCATTTTCTATCGTTGGTTAGTATGGACCTAGAAAATTTACATGAGGATACATAACAATTGCACTTTATAATGGGATTAGATTATGCAACAAGCTATTTCCTAATGCCTGTATGACATGTGTATCTCTTATTTAAATGTAAACTTCTGACATAAAATTATTTTTTGTTTACAAAATCCCAAAATTTTTCATGAGTCTAGTTTGTCAGCTTCTTGTGGCGTTTTATAAGAGGTTCTTTTTTAAAGGAAAATTTCTGTGTGATAAGATTACAGCCACAGTATATTAACAAGGCATTATGGAAATTCTTAATGATACTGCCACCTGTGGCCAAAATACATAACTGCAACACTACTCTACTTGTTTTTGTAGCTCACAGTCACACTTAAAGATATAGTGGAGGATTTTTGCGAATTTTTGAAAAGACCCCCCTTCTTTACTTAAAAAAAAAAATGCACATACACAACCCTGTACCCGATCCAGAGAAGGAACGCCTATTAAACGTGTGCGAGAGCATGCAGAAGCCCATTTCTCCTCATGCACGCTCTGTTTAAAAGTTGCTATTTGCATTGCTCCTGCAAGCTTAATATCCAAAAGAAGATTTGCAATTTTTCCACTATGTCAGACTCACCACAGCTAAGTGAAATGGGAACGAGGACGGCCTTACTTAAACAGATCACCAGAATGATTGACAATTAGGAGGACCACTTATTGAGATGATCCACCTAGAAAAAGTACATCCTCCTCTATACCTTTAAAAGGGTTTTTTTTTTTGTTTTTTTTTTACTTTTTCATCTAACAATGAGTTGCCATTGGTGTCTGAGTTGAGCTGGAATTTGGTCGCTTCTGAGAAGCCGCAAAATCCATTTGGAAAATAACGCTTCAATGTTTTGCTAGGTTGGACCAATTTAACGTGGACGCGCTTGACGTCACATCCATCCGACTCGAAGTAAATTCAGGACAATAGGCTGCAGGTTTGTAGATGAAGTGGCAGTGAACTACTAAAGTGCCAATCTACTCATCAAATAATGTTTTAGTCATAAAGGGCCAAATAAAAAGGCAATTTTTATAGATATTTTTCAGTAAATATTGTGTCTTTAAAAATCGGTCTGGGGAGGCTACACTTTGGGAACTGTGTTGCAATGATGTGTGAATCTTTCCATTCATATTCCAACTTCCATTATGTAATAAATAAATAATCCTTCATTATTTTGTATAAAAGTTTGCTTGAATGTGTTTTTATCAAGGTATAAATGTAAGATGTGGAGGAGTAGCCCCAAAGCAAATATTCAAACAATGACATGTTTTCCCACCAACATTGTAAACTCTGGTGTCTGTGGGGAAATCTGAATGTGCTTTAAAAGTGTGTGGGATAATGCTGACTTCTCACAGAGAAGAGGTCAACATTTGTTCAGAATAAAAACAACCTCCAACGATCAGACTCTGATGTTTAGTCTCTACACATTGTGATGTACCAGAATGGTACGCTAAAGGAGGCAAAAGAAAAACAACAATTTGCTGGGCTTCTCTGATGGTTTCACACTAAAGACGCATTGTTGGGTGTAAGGGCGGTTCCTTCTGAGCCCTGCTGCTCTAAGGGACTGGATTTGTCCAGGACAGATGTTTGTGTGACTGTACTGCTTTCGTTTAAAAGCGTACGCCGTCGTTTACTGTAGCTAAGGTAACTCTGAGTCTGCCACTTCCAAAATCGCTTCTTCATCTCAGCCTGGACCTAAAAAAAGAAATACAGATTTTTTTTTTTTTTTTAAGTAAAGCACTTAAAGTTTATTATATAAACATGGTTTTGGAGAATATTTCTGGATACATTTGATTTGACAACGATCCAGAGATTTCAGCTACAAAAACATAGGTTCCCTAAAAATTGTAAAAGACCTTAAAAAAAGAAGCTTAAGGTTTTAAAGATTAAAAAGAAAGTCTGACAAATTAAAACTAATATAAAGAGTTCAGTAAACATTTCAATCTTTAAACATAATCGTGTAGAGTGGGAACAATTATTATGAAAATTGTATTTTTCAGGATTAATCGTCATTTTGAACAACTGCAGCTACCTAAAACCTGAATAATTAGCAAAGTAAACGCAAGATTTTTAATTTGAAATTATTATTTGAATTATTATCAAACAAAAAAATACATTTTACTAGTTTATTTCCATCAGCTAAAGTGAGAATATTAAAGGGGTCATAGAATGCAAAACCGAGTTTACATTATCATAGATGAATAACGATAGTTCAGTGGGTGAAATGGACGAACAGAGAAGTTCAAACCCAATCGACTCCCCCTTTCCCTGCAGATCTCACTATTCTAAACTTCCACCATATAACGGGCAAATCCAAACGAAGCACCAAATAGACGTCAACTCGGGGATGTTGCCTTAAGTGGTTCTGGCCTATACTTTTGTCACACCCAGAAATGTACATACAGACCAGCCAACTGGTTCACTGGCCCAAGGGAGGGGTGTGTGGGTGAGTGGGTATGAAGTGTTGTCTGCACGGCCGCTGACTGGACCGGACCTCAGCAGAGTCATGAGCCGCCCCCGGAGGCTGGGGGCCGGTAAGGCAGACAGAGGGGAAGCACTGGGCTGTCCGTGTCCAGGCTACCGTCACTGGGTCGTGTCGCAGTACGAGTGCCAGGTGGGTTTCAACTACATGCTGCACTGCAGTCAATCCCGGACGATTTTGAAATTTTTAGGTATGAAAAATCCGGGAAAGAGAGGACATCTGGTCACCCTACCATATCAACAATTTGATGTTTCAGTGAGTGAGTGCTTGTTGCTATGATACTTCTTTGCTCAGCAGCTTCGCTCGTTGTAAACAAACCAATCAGCGCACAGCTCATCTAAATATTAATTAGCATACCATAAAATGAAGAAAACCTGTCATTTCATTTTAGGGCTTTAAACCAGGCTTGAATTAGGGCTCATAGAACAGCAAATATGCCATTTTCAGCCCAACCAATGTTTCACACCCTATTCAGAGACCTTTTAAGGACCAGCACCAAATACCCTATAGAATCATTCTATGACCCCTTAAAACAATAAAAAATTTACAAGAAAACTTTTGACAATAAACTAAACCAAAAAAAGTGTTCTTCCTTTTAATTCTTTCAACAGCAATTAGCAGCCTTCTTATTCATGCATAACAATGATGATATGGTAAAAATACAACCTAACTAATAAATGTGCATACAGTGTGTAACTGAGCATATTTTAAAACCAAAAATTCCACGAGCCAGACTACACGAAACATAAAAACTGTAACGCTATGCATAAGATAAAAAAATACTGAACATCAAACCAATTTCAAAGGATCTCCTCTAGATGGCAATAACACCCTATTCAATGAATGATCAAACTTGTCCTGAAATTATAACATTTATTCCAACTTCTTTTTTGCAATTATTAAAAAAAAGAGATTTAGTTCACTCTATATAAAACATGACTTATTTTTAAGTGATTGACAGATTTAAAATAGAAAGTGGATGATGAGCACTCACCTCTCCGTTTAGGAAACAGTACAGCAAGGCAACCACAAACCCCTTTGTAATAGAAAATCATCATATCAGTTGTTAAACATTATTTTTTAACTATTTTTCAAAGTGTGCTTCTAGTTGTACCTGGAAGGAGCCCAGGCCGAGCTCAATGAAGAGCCGAGCTTCTGCTCCTGTATGTTCTGGCAGGAAGGCAAACACCATATAGTGCATCCCAAACAGTGGGATGAGCAGCAGTGTGGATTTGGCCAGTCGCCTGCAGACACATGCAGCTCAAAAAGATTACATGGGTATACAGCCATGTGTCGTTTTAGATGCTCATAGAAAAGGATTTGTTCTCTCTTACTTAAAATGACTTGTATCGTTACCGCTGACTCCAGGAGTAGTCAATTTCTGAACCAGAATACGGATCACGTTCAGAAAGATGATGAAGTTAACCTACATAGGAAAAAAACAATAAACAATGTAAATCCCTTTATTGTCCCTCAATGGGAAATTTGTTCTCTGCATTTTGACCCATCCCCTTGGGGAGCAGTGGGCTGCCATCGTGCAGCTATAGGATCTGATGCTTCAAGTCACAGTTGTAAAATACTTTTATTTGCCGCTACCACAGAGTCTGAGATGGAGCCCTTGGGATTTAAGTTATTCAACTGAAAAGTACCCAATCTTACCCAAGGGGTAGATTTGCTTGGACATCCATGCCTTGAAATCTTGGACACAGCCTTAAATGTTTACCACTCAAATAGTTTGGAAAATACCTTGAGACTCTTCCCAGCTTGATTGGTAGCAATGTTTACTTTTCACAAGATTATAGCTGGTTCTTTTTCCACCCTGGCATGTGCTAACACAAGGCATTATAGTCCAGAGCAGCATACTTACAGTAGGCCCTAGCTTTCATAGATGTTATCCAACCAGCAAAAATCTATGAATCCAGTTCTTGGCTTCACTTTTTCCTTTAAATACGGTTGAGACAGACATTTATCACTCTTAGGAAACCCTGGTATGCCCTATATATGAAAGACGGTGCTGTAAGCAACTATGCAGTTGCTTACAGCAAATTCCTAATCATGATGCAAATAGTAAGCATCCACCCAAAATGAAGTAAACTAACAGACGACAAATTTGAAACAAAAAAAAGAGAGTGGAAAAATGGGAAAATCCAATAAAGTTGTAACCCTGCCTACAAATAAGACAAAATATCAAAAGTTGTTTCAAACATTCTCTATTATTTTCTCTCATAAGATATCATCTCAGTAGGAGAAATTAAACCATTTGTTGGGACTAATTATTATTGCCACTCACTGACACAGGTTTATGTTATGGTTCTCCCCTTGTGGACTTCTGTTTGAGTTTCTTTTTAAGTTTTTAGTTCCACTTTGATTTATGTTATTCTGAGTTTTCTAGTTCATTTGTTTTTCTATTTTGTTTTATATGTATGCAGATTTGTGTTTACTGAGTCACTCTCTGTTGTCCCTTGTGCCTGTTTGCTTTCCCCTTGGCTCCCTTCTAGTTAGCTCTATTCACACCTGCTCCATATCAGCTCATTAGCACATTCTTTGTCCTGTTCCTCATATATACACCACCTCTGCAGTTCCTCATTGCTGGTTTCATGTTGATTTCCTGGATTTTTAAATTTTCAGTATTTTGTCCTACATTTGTGGTTTTCAGGATTTTTTTTTTGTTTTTTTGACTGCTTCTGTTGCCTGTGGTATTTCAGTTAAATCAGCAAAACTCTGCCTCCTGCCTTTATCTCTGCATTTGGTCCTCAAAAACCTCCAACAAACAGTGACAATTTAGAGTTAAATATCAACCAAGGTCTAAGGCTGAGGACTTTTTATAACCCCTCAATAGCAAGTGCTGTACCAGCAGTGTACTCACCAGTAGGGAGGCAGTTATTGGACCCTTTATGATCCACCAGATGAAGGCAACATCTGTGTCATCCCAGCACCTGGGATACATAACAGTCAGTGATATAATAAACAGAACAATTTCAAAACCCACACTAGTTTGTCTCATTACAAAATATGCAATATGTTACCAGAATCTTAATGCTAGAAATTCAACCCCAAGGGTCTGATCTTCACAGGGTTTTTCTGTATTAGAACACATGAAATTGTGTTTGTATGTGCAGTGCAGATCTTTAAAGTGGACTCAAAGTGATTTGCTTT